GGCAGCGCGCTGTGATTGGCGGATGGTTGCCATGGCGATAGAATGCTGACCCGGATCGGGAGCCACGCTGTGTCAGATTACACAGCGCAGCTCCCGATCCGTCTCAGCATTCTATCGCCATAGCAACCATCAGTATCCGGCGGCCCCCCCATCTCTGCGCTGGATTATCCGACACTCTCGGCGCAGAGATGGGGGGCCCGCTGGCCGCACTGCACAGGGTGTGCTATCCCCTGACGTTCAGTGGACTCAATTTGGGTGTGAGAAGTTGCAAAGGCTTAGTCCTAAATCATATACAACATACATGTTGTACTGTAAAATTTACAATTATTTTTAACAGGACACATTGGTAAGTCTACTTGAGAAACCATAAAAGTAATTTATTTGCCTTAAATCTCTATACAGGGGTTACACAGATGAAAAAACAGAAGGATTCTGCTTTTCGTGAAGAGGAGGAAGAAAATAACGAGGATGAAGATGAGGAGTGTGACCATTGAATACGTGGCCATTTTTTGTATTGAAGTATAAGAACTATAAAATGCTGATCGTTTTGTCACCTTCAAAGTTCCAAAAGGCATTTTATCTCTCAGCTATGTGTGGTGTTTTTTTTAAGCAAGATCTCTTTGATGAACTTTAGAACCTCAACGCACAACATCATTATAATCAGAAACAGAATGAGATTTCTGAAATATTGTCACATCATCGATATTTCATGCATTACTGGTTTAATTGTACTCTTCTTATTGCTAACTTGCTAAATGGATTTGAGAAGACAATCATGTAAATATTGCAAATATTAAAACTGCTATATAAATAAACATTTAGAGAAAAATCAAATTTATTGAAAAGTATTAATTATTTTATTGCAATAACTTGTGAGCTTTATTTATATATTTGAAAACAAACAAACCATAGTAACACATTGCATTCACATATCAGCTAAAACAGAACTATGGCCCAACATTTTTTGGCCATAGTTCTCTTTAAGGTCACAGGAAGAGATTTACTATGTCCTCCTGTGACCCAAAACTCAGCATATAGCGGGCCATTGCTAATAAAGAGCCACATGTGCCCACCCCCTCCAATGTCCGTCCCTCCAGTCAGTGCTGGAGGAACAGAGAGGGGAGGAATCCCTGTGGGGAGCTGTGATTGACAGTCACCATTCTCTGCTGGGAGAAGATTGGGAACTGAGTGATCAGGGGTATGCGATAGCTCAGTTCACGATCTACAGAGCCGACGGTTGACAGCTGCATTGTCACACGTCGGCTCTAATTATGAGAATGGGTGTATAGCACTCTACTTATAATTCTCCTTTAGGAGCAATGAGAATTATTTATTTGGTAATTAAGTAATTACCAACAGTAATTACTTAATGGGGACTGTTGTTGGTTGTTGACTATTGCAACTTTCTTATGACTGCCTACTATTTGACCCTGAAAATGTTGAGACTTTACAGATAAGCAAGTCAACAAGCCTGAAAGAACATGAATATAATTGCTCTCATTACAAGAAGGGGAGGGCAGGGAATTTGTATTCTGGTACATATATCAGCTTTATCACCCTTTGTCATTCTCAAAATGATTGTCATTATTGTTTTTACTGTGTTTTTGCACAGTGCTAAATCTTTATAGAACTGAATGCATTTGTTAAACCAGCCTAGCACATATTTTATTGGCTTATACTGTCATGCGGAATTACATTAGGATGTAGTATCCTTTTTAATGGAATAAAGCTTTCTGAAACCCTCAATAGCCCATAAAAACGCATAATTCAAATGTGAGATCAATTGATATGCATAATTTATAGGCACGATTACTTTTTTCTATAATGTTAGTGTACACTAGAACTTGATGTTCTAAAATATGCTTAGAATGTATACATTTTTCTGCTTGCAAAATATAAATTATATATTAGACAATATCATACAGCAGTGAGCACAGTTTGGCTTTAAAGTTCATTTATTTAGTGTAAATCTCTTATTGCAATTGCAGTCCTTGTATTCATGGTAGTTCATTTGGGCTATTAAACCATGTAATGAGAGTGCACCATCATTTAGAAGAATTGAGGTGGACCTTGGATCAAAACACATCCTTTCTCAGCTCTCCTACCATGGACAAATCCTTAAACTAGGATTCAGGCAGCAGGGTACACCAGCGAATATTTATTATATTTACAGCTCACATAACATTAGCATGATCAGTAAGTTGTAAATATAAAAAAAAAATAGACAATAAAAAAGTGACCTTGAGTATTTGATACATAAGGCAGAAGGCATTTGTTACACCCCCCTCCATGCATGATTTTCAGCAATAATAATATTGAAATAAAAATTAAGCAATTAATACTAGTGCCCAGAAAAGTAACAACACTGAAAATTGTAGTGCCCTTTGTCTGTTAGTCAGTGCCCTGCCATGATACTTTGGTGATGACTGGAGAAATGCTCTCTGACATTGGTGGTCATTGGAGAATGTCACTTTTCATTGCTAATCAGTCTTATGTCCCCTACATTGAGGCCATTGGAGAAGTGCCCTCTTTCATTCTTAGCCTGGGTAGTGCCCCCTTACATTGTAGGTGGTTGTAGAAGTCCAATCTTACATTGGTGATTATTAAAGAGATACTTTCTTTCATTGGTGGTCCTTGGTGAAATTCCCCTCTTATATTGATGATCTTTGTAGTGCCCCCTCAGATTACTAGTAATTGGGGAAGTACCCCTTTCCATTGGGAAAATGGCTTATTACATTTGTGATCAGTGGAGTACCCCCTTACATTGGTGGTTAGTAGAGAAGGCCTCTCTACTTTGGAGGTCAGTGAAAAATGGCTTTGTTCCATTGGTTGTCAGTACTGAATGAACCCTTTTATTTTTTTACTAACACAAAATAGATAAACATCTGTGTAAAATTAGGAAACCCAAATTGGGTTGCTTTCTTTATCTGGGTCTCTGATGGACTACAGGCTTAAAGTATAGCTGTATAAGTGAATGCTCCCCCCCTCCCAAACTCTTAAGCTCACTTGTCCTCGCTCCTGCTAGATCTTCAATGTATGGATGTATGGCCCACTAGGAGTCACACAACTGCTGCTGTAAAGCGTACTTGTGAAAAATCCCATTCATTTCTATGGGGAGACCATTTGTGTACGCAAACAGTGAAGGCCTCTTCATAGGAATGAAAGGGATTTTTCTGTGCATTTGCAGAAGAAGGCTGTCTGGCCAGGAGACAGTGGTGTCTGTTCAACTTCTAATGGCTGCAAAGTGAATATCTGGCTGGATCTTTGACAGGTGAGTATAAGACTTTTAGTTGGTGCTGGATGGGGGGGGGGGGGGGGAGGGGGGGGGGTCG